TTAATTAGTTCAAATTGATGCTTCTTTTATCGAGTGTCTCGGGTCTTTCTGCTGGGACGTTGTATACCCCTCTGCCCAGGTTGGCTCTAAAAGGCAGTGTCGAAACCCGCCTCTTAACTGGTCTATATTATGTTGAAGTGGGCGTAAAAAGCATTTACATTTTTAACGACATTGTAGGCCGTTTCACTTTCGTTTATCCTAACGACTTTGCGTCAAACAAGCTACGTCTTGTCGCTGATTGCTGCGTCCGCTCTTGTGCCTGTCTCGCTACACGAGAAACACAAAGCTCTATCTGACATTTTTGACTTTTGATCGTTTCGAGTTACACTACGACCCTAAGGTTTGAAACCAAAGGTTCTATCTGCTTTTTCAAAATCGGAGGATTATTCGGAGTCGATATCAAGATAATATGCAGAGAATCGCACCCGTAAAAAAGCTTGACATGTTAAGAAACTCAAAATTGTTAACGTTAAATTTCTCAAAACTAGGTACCAAGTAGATAGAACTTTGTAATTCTAAGGTCGTGCTATATCGAGCTGGGACAATCCCCTTCTATTGAGGGTCACGGTGGGACAGCGTGATGTAGCAGCGGGCTTGTCGCTTGCTGATCAGAGTGAGCTACTTGAGTGGTACGGACGTATTGCGTGCTTGATAGTTATTGTGTGCAATATATTTGTTTTAACTGGCTCATATAAATGCTTCTTCAAGGTCACCATAGCAATAGAAATGGCGGTGATAGTTATTGTGTGTAATATATTTCTTTTAATTGGCGCGTATGAAAGGTTCTTCTATGTCACGTTAGCAATAAAAATGGAGGTGATTGTGGTAGAAGACTGGGTAGTTGTAGGGGTGGTAGTGGTTCCAGTAGTAGTAGTAGCAGCAACAGCAGTTAAAATTGAATGTTTTGCCGTGAACTGTCTCGGGCTCCTATGACCTTATGTAGTTGCGAGCGCCTTAAACTCTTACTAAACTAAGAAAAATAGCAGTGGTATCGGTAGTAGGAGTAGTTGTAGTAGTCATGTTTTACGCATGGGCACAATGAGATCATTCAGGAGACCAGGGGCAACCGGGGCTGAGAAGGCTGCATGCACAACCCTGCAGAACGATGAAGACATGTCATGTGTGCGAGTCGAAACCAGCATTTTTATGGTGTCATGCTTATAATTTTTTAAAAAAGGTACGCGGATCAAAGCTGCTGTGGCTCTTTTGCTCCCGAAACCCGTCCTTCATTAAATTACCAATGTTTTATTAGCGCAGCTGGTGGTTGGTGGGTTCTCCGGTGTGGTTTGCTCCTTCTTTCCTAGCAAGCATTTATCGCCCTTATCTCCCCTCCTTTTTTTGTTTTTATTACTCTCTTGTAGCACCTCTAATCTTCCGCACTTATATGGCTTTATTGTGTTGCAAGTGCTGTAAAGGTCTTACTAAAACTAAACTAAACTAAAATACTCACTAATTCCACAACTATGTTTCTTTACCACAATCGATAACGTCTGTGCTGTACTGGTCTACTCTTTATGTCCTGCGGCTAGATGGGTGAATGCGGGCTGGGTTATATTTTGTCGTTTGGCGCGAGTTCGTGGAAAGGATGTTAGTCACCGACTGAGAGAACTTTTGGTTCAATCTGCCCCGTCTCTATCGATCTATTTGCCCATCTCTATTACTTTTATGCGCGGATGTTTGGAGGGCGCAACTGTGGTAGGTCCTACTTCTTTTCTGTCGCTCGGTTGTTTTCTGTGTATCTGTCTTACGTTTGCCCTGTACTATATTATGACCGTTATTGTGTCGATGTGTTTCTCTTAGCTCAAACCGTGACTCCCCTCCCCTTTTTTGCCGTGCCCCGTCCACTGTTTGCCTCGCCACGTCCATTGTTTGCCTCGCCACGTCCACTGTTTGCCTCGCCACGTCCATTGTTTGCCACGACGGAAAGTTCGCTCAATGGAGTACTCTAAGTGGATCAAGGGATGTAGACATGTTAATTTGATATCTTGTCAGCACCACAATGTCTTTTGTCCAACTCGACCCTTGAAATCCGATTGCGCGGGTGGCTGGAGGGCGCCACTGTGCGGCCTACTTCTTTGCTTTCCCATATTATTTTGTCTTTGTATTTTATCTCTTATGTTTTCCTATCGCTGAATGACCGCTATTGTGTTGCTAGGGTTTGTTTCTTTGAACTCAAACCTTTAAAATGTCTCATTGTGCTGGACCTAGATTCGGAATTGTCTAACACAATGTATACCACTCGACCGGGTCATGTGATGGACCCTACTTTTTTTCCCCTGTGTTATTTCTATCTTCGTCTTACTCTTCACAGTAGGCCTACTGGATGACCTTTATTGTGTCGATGTGCTTCTTTTTTACTCGAAGTCAGTATTAGGAGGTTGTTTTGTTTTGTTTTTTGTTGTTGTTTTTTTTTTTTGGGGGGGGGTGTAATGTTTTACGGCGCTCGCAACTGCATAAGGTCATAATATGAGCGCGCGGGACACACAAAAAACAATTTTAATTGGTAGGAAATTTTGAATTTTGCCCGGGTTGCGGCCGAAGCCTACTCTTATCGATTTTGGACCACCAAGGGATCTTTAACGTGCGCAACTTGCGCACGGGACCTCTGAGAATTTCACCCTTGTCCGAGAATGCTAAGTGTGCAACTTTCCTACCAGAAGATCATTAGTGTGGCTGAAAGGCAGCAGTAAGAAAGAGCCGAGGGGTAGCAGAAGAAAGGCTGCAGAAAGAGTCAGGAGTGGGTGGTTGGCGGGTGCTCTGGTGTGATTTGCTTCTTCTTTCCTATCAAACATCTATCGTCCTTTTCTCCCCTTCTTCTTTTTATGTTTGTTACTCTCTTCTACCACCCCTAATCTTCTGGCGCTCTTATGACCTTATGCAGTTGCGGGTCCCGTAAAACTCTTACTAAAACTACACTAAAGGAGTCAGGATCCCAGTGGAAGGGGCAAAGGAGGTGAGGGGTGGGGGCAGAAAGTGGAGACGAAAGCAGTCAACAGAATATTGCAAGAGAGAAGGAAAGAAGGTGAAAGGAGACAATTTTAGAGAAAAAAAAATTTCTGTCGCTTCGCTACCCGGATTCCAACCCGGGACCTTTGAATGAGAGGCACAGAATTCTGTGATGAGAGACGAACACCTTATCCTCTATGCCTCAAGACGCTCCTTAGGAGTTTTATACTAACTAACTAGCAAAACCTATCACACGGGACAATCGTTTGTCTAACACCGAGAGTACACTGCCAGCTGGATTCTTTTTTTTAAATCGGGGCCGATCATGTTTCCTGTCATGGGTGGGGCAAAAGCTACTATTTTGGCATTATACGCGAAATCAACTAAAATATTAGTAAAACAATTTTTTTTATAAGGTCGGGAGTCGAATCGGTCGTGTTGTTTCAAAATGGTGTCTGCTTTTGCCGCCACCCCTCCCTTCCTTTTTTAAAGGAAAATCTTGCTGGCCCTGACTTAATGAAATTAAATCGACTTGGACACCTGAATAATCCACGCTATGGCGTAAATAGACGTGGTGCAATATTAAACGTTGTTCGTGAGACAGGTAAAACACGTTTGTTTTACCAGGTCCATGAACCAGACACGATGTGATACGCCAAGGGCCCTCATGAGAAGGCAGTGACCCCGGTGTCAAAATGTGGTATCTGCAGTTCACGATTGTTTATTGTCTGGGATGGAACGCTTATGATCTGAGCTAGATAGGTGATGGACTCTTGGGCTAACTGACTGGTTATAATATTGTGTGTGATGTATGACTCAGACACGGTGTGTGCTGATAGCTTGCTTGGTATAATGTTCAACTTTGTGGTGTGGATAACCCGAGTTTTTTTTGTTTGTTTTTTGTTTTTTTTTAATGTTTTGTTTGATGACTATTTACCGCTGTCATTGTGCAAGGGCAAGGCCCAGTCCTCTCACATACAGGCTTCAATTGACAGGTTCTGTTCTGTCTCTAGATATCTAATCTAAAAGTACTTAGCTATGACGATTTTTAAGTTTTTAATTTATTTTTTTTTTGGTGGGGTTGATCTCTAAAGAACACAATGTGTTTTTGAAAAAAGATTTTTTAAAACTCAGAGAGAATAGGGACGCTGGAGAAAGAGGGGGGGGGGGTGATTTTATGTTGGTATGTGTGCGCTGTGTTGTGTTGTGTTTTTCAGAAAGTGTTTGTTGGGGGGGGGGGGTGTCTGTTAGTTCTACCAGCAACTTAATTGTAATGGACTGGCTCTTAGCTTTGCATGCAAGACATCTGAGGTCAATTCTCAAAATTTATGTTTATTTTAGTATCGTCGACTTTCTTCTTGGATGACGTATCCGCCTCGGCTCAGACTGGCTTCTTAGTTTCATGTAAATTGTGTCAGCTTGGATGGAAAACATTAGCGATCATGTTTCTTTACCCTGTCTATGGAGCAGCATTCGATCGTCTTTTTTGTGTTGAATGGTGCTGAATTTCTACTAAATCAAATTGTTTATGACTGGTATCTGTGGTGTAGTAATGGAGGGTTCTTTGCTGTTGCACACAGAAAATAGGGAGTTTGATTATCTTGCCGGGAAGAATATTTTATCAAATATCCCCATCTTTCTGCTGAGATTATATAGCCCACTCAGCTTTGGTTAGCCCTGACAGGTGGGATAGAAGCAGCCAGCCTCCTAAATACTCTTAGATTGTGCTGAAAGGGTACATAGTACATTTACAGTCAATCAGACTGATAATGAAGTTGGTGTTATTTTTCAATAAAACTTTTTCTGTCCTTGCTCAGAACGAGTGGTTGGCAGGTGCTCTGATGTGGTTTCCTCCTTCTTTCCTATCAAATATCTTTCATCCTGATCTCCCCTCCTTCTTTTTTTTTGTGCTTTTAACTCTCTTGTAACACTTCTAATCTTCTGCACTTATGTGACTTTATGTTGCAAGTGCCGTGCAGTAAAACTCTTACTAAAAGTGTTTGTTTTTTTAAGCTGGAGCAAGACTGACTATTTTTTGTCTGATATCTTCGCAGGCAAGGAGATAGCCCAGTACTGGAAAATGCCAAAAACTTTACAGTGTTCATCAAGAACAACATTGAGTTTCCCCGATTCGGTGTGAGCAGGTTAGTAAAATGGTATTGTTTTTTAACCTCAACCTTACCCTAAGGGTTGAGGTGTGGGCGGTAGCGGGTGCTTTGGTGTTGTTTACTCCTTCTTTCCTATCAAATATTTGTCATCGTTATCTTTCCTCCTTCTTTTTTGTGTTCGTTACTACCTTGTAACACCTCTATTCTTCGGCACTCACATGACCTTATTGTGTTGATTGTGCCATAAAACTCTTACTAAAACCAAACCAACCCTTTAATCTTCCGCACATATATGACTTTATTGTGTTGCAAGTTTTGTAAAAGTCTTACTAAAACTAAAGTGAGGAAGGGTGGGATTTATTCGGTGTTGTAATAAAACAACTTACTAGTACAACTCCGCAAATGGCAGTGAAGCAAGATAAAACATCAATGATTTGAGTATGTGCATGTGTCATATTTCCCCTCTTTGGTTCATATTTCCTCCCTTCCTGCCTCCCTTCCTTCCTCCCTTCCTTCCTTCCTTCCTTCCTTTCTTCCTTCCTTCCTTTCTTTCTTCCTTCCTTCCTTCCTTCCTTCCTTCCTTCCTTCCTTCCTTCCTTCCTTCCTTCCCTCCCTCCCTCCCTCCTTCCTTCCTTCCTTCCTTCCTTCCTTCCTTCCTTCCTTCCTTTCTTCCTTCCTTTTTTCCTTCCTTTCTTCCTCTCTTCCATCCCTCCCTTCCTTTTTCCTTCCTTTCACTCCTTTTACTTTTATCCAGCTAAGTGCTCCACATGCAAAATTAGACTCTTTCGCTAATAGGACAAAAGTTATTTTGGAATTATCTATTCCACCTTCAAACTGTAACACTCATAAATATATTAGATCCATTACTGCCCTAGCCTACTTTGACCTTAGAAGTTTTGAAATTTTCATCAACTGACTTAACTTTTAGATCAAAAAGCAACGTCGCTATGAACGCTTGGCTGCCACAAGCCATTTATCCCTGTGGTAACTTTTCTGACACCTCTTGCTGTTTAAACTCTTAAAGTTTAAGTAACAGCATAGATCTTCAGTCAAATCTGTCCGAGACAACCACCCATTGTTGAGGAGAAAAGTATTCATTCTAGATGGATGACCCTCTTGGACAGTGTCATGATAATATTGAAGAAGAAAAAAAAGACACCCAACCTAAGGTGGGAAGTGGTTATTTGGACAGGTGGTTGTTAGAGCAGGTTTGACTGTTTCATAATCCTGTAATCCTTTTTGTATTCCCCTCTGTGTGAACGCTGACTTTGTCGTTTTCATGTCTCTTGTCGTGTGTCACTGAATGGTTTGTAAAATCTAAATGATGTTCTTTTGTTGGTATGTGTGGGGGAAAGAAATGTTGGCTAAGGTTTCATTGTTGAATTCAATTTTTTAAATATTTTGCTCTCTCTCTCTCTCTCTCTCTCTCTCTCTCTCTCTCTTTCTCTCTCTCTCTCTCTCTCTCTCTCTCTCTCTCTCTCTCTCTCTCTCTCTTTGTTTATTTTTATTTTCCATGCACATCCTATAATGTTCTCCTCCAGACGAAACCTTCCAAGCAAAGAAAACGACACGTATTTAAAGAAGTGTCAGTATGATGGGGCTAGCAGTCGAGACAAGTTTTGCCCCATTTTCCGTTTGGAGACAATCACAGAAGGTGCAGGTGTTGCCTTTGAGAATATTTCCAAAGAGGTACTGGTGGACTGACCCTCCTCTGAGGAAGAGCACAGTTCAGATGCAATCAGTGTTTGCCACATTGTTTTTTTGAACATACAAAATACAATGGTTTTGGCACAGCCATGGGCTCCTTGCCCATAGATTTGGGGGGGGGGGGGCATCATAACTTTGGGATTTTTTTTCTTTTTCGTTTTGTTTTCTTTTTGTTTTGTTTTTTGGGGTCACTACAAATTTTCAAACATTTTTGTGAATGTGTTATTTTTATATATCATCTTACATAGAAAGGTGTGTGGTTTGCACTACTTGTCTATACTTTTCCTTTGACATTTTTGTTTTTTGTGATGAAAAGTTCCTTTTTGCTGAACACTCAGTTATTCTGTAGAATTTGTTCTGTGATGTTGGTTATATGGCCAGATTTGATTCCTTACTTTACTGTGTTTGAACCACTATGTATGGTCTAATTGTCAGACTAGTGGCTTTGCACAGAAAGGACCTGGAATTCAGTTCCAGGGTTGGATCTTGTGAGCAGAGTCATAGCCTTGGGACCATTATAATATTATGGTCTAAACTTGAGTAAACATGTGTTATCTGAAAAGATTCCATAGCTGTCTACCCACTTGGTTGAGTCTTGTCAAAGTGTTTGATATATTAATTAGAGCTCTAGCTTCATCTAGACAGTGTTGAGACTGAGAGGGACTAGTCCACAAGTTTTTACATTTTCCTGAATGAAAGCTCTTCTTTCGTATTTTGTTCTTTTGACCGTTCATTGATCAATGAGGTTATCAGTGCTCTTCTCCTCGAGATAAAGTCATGCGTTGGTTTTTTTCCCCACTTTTCTGACTTGGTTAAAATGTTAATGGAGCATGTGCAGACTAAGCACAATTGATCAAACCTTGTTTTATACTTGATTTTCTCAATAGGCGGTTGATGCTACTCCTTTCGCTGTCACTATTGTCCCCCAGTCAGTTCCAAGATAATTGTGATAGCTATCATCCAGAGGGCCTAAAAATTTCTAATTCCAGTAACCTCCAGATAGACATGAGATTTTAAAAAAAAATTTCCTTGACTGCATGCACATGATGCATAGTTGGAAAGCATTTGTCGGAAATATGGGCTAATTTGTTTCTCAGAGCCTGTTGAGTTAATTCGACCTCTGTTGTGCCCATTTCTTGCAGGAGGAATATTCTCGGGTTTTACAATGACACAGCACTGAAGACTTGTCGCTGGAAGAGAGGGGACCCTAAGCTAAAGTTCTGCCCCATCTTTGTCTTGGACGATATTGCGAGAGACGCTGGAGTCACTTTTGAGAACATGATGATGGAGGTACGCAGAGCTCTGAGCCTTTTTAAAGTCCGATTGTTCCCCCCATTTTCCTCGTTCTCTTCAAGTGTTGCTGGGCCACCCATTGTGGAGTTAATGTTGTGCTGGACTGATACGTAGGCAACCCCTGTTGGAATATCTGTCAAGGAACTCTTGGTCTAGGTTTGTTTGAGTTTTCGCAGTTCAACGCTTAGCTAGCTTCTAAATGGAACAAAATGGTGTAGCTATGGTTGCTTTGAAGTTTTTATAGTAAAAGCATGTGATAGTGGAGATCAGAGTGAAAGTTGGTCAGTGCGTGTTGTTTCCTCTTTTGTCATCATGTCAGGCTGCAGTTTGGGTGACCCTGGTTCAAGTCTCAAACAGAGCAGTTTAAAAGTTTTGTACTTTTATAGTTTGAATTTTCATTCCTCTCCTTTTGTTTGACTCATTCCCATTAATGAGGAACGATTAATGCAAAGCTCTTCTTCTTGAATAATGGGGGGGGGGGGGGGGGTTCTCTTCAAAGTAATATGTAACTCACACCATACACACAGTATCTCCTTTGAATTTTTTGTGAAGATTGTAGTGTTTCTTTTTTCAGTGTATCAAAAACTCTTGCTACTGGTCATCAAATACCTACTCTAGGCTTCGGCCACCACCTGGGCAAAATTCAAAATTTATTCCTACCAAACTGAAAATCCTTAATGTGTTCTGTTTGCTCATATAACCTTATGCAGTTGTGAGCGTGGTTAAAGTGTTAAAACACAAACAAACAAGATGCTTACTCTGGTATTTTCTTGGAGCTTTATAACATTGAGGCATTTAAACAATATTCTTTGTCGTTATTGAAGATAAGCTCAGATTGCATCATAAATTATTTGATGTTGGGGGGAGAAAAGCCCGCTTTCACAATTGACTTTTCTTTTTCATAACTGGTCAGCAGTGGGAAATTTCTGCCTTATCATCCAGAAGCTGATTGCTCTGAACTGTAGATCTTTTTCTGAATTTAAATTTCTTTTCACCAATTTGCTTTGTTTTGTTTGATGTTTGTATAATTTAGCTTTATTTGTTTGGTTTGTATTCTTCACTGCTTGTTGACTTTTGTTTGATAGAAACTAAGACTTGGATGGTTTGAAAAGTAATTTTTAAAATTTTGGTTTGGAAAAAAAAAAATGATGACATGAGTTTTGATTTATTTTCAATGACATAACAGTTGTCACAGGCTAATTTCTACCGTAAGAAAAGTGTAACAAAACTTTATATAACATCTACAGAACATTATTTTCTTATATTTGTAGTATTTGTTAATTAAGCTCAGATCACATCATAAATTATTAGATATTTGGGGAGAAAATCCATTTCCGCAACTAACTTTTATTTCTATTTTTCATAAATTGCTCAGCAGTGGAAAAGTTCTGTCTTATCATCCAGAAGCTGATTGCTCTGAACTGTGGATCTTTTTTTTCTACTGTAATTTCTTTGAGTTTGCTTTGTTTTGTTTTGATGTCTGTATAGTTTAGCTTTACTTGTTTGGTTTGTATTCTCCACTGTCGTTTGGTTGTTTTTTTTATAGAAACAGAAACTTGAGGGTGTGAAAAGAAAATAATATATTCTTTAAAAAAAAGAATGGTGGAGGACAGGTGTTTTGAATTATTTACAACAATTGTAAATAACCATTGTCACTAGCTAATTCCTATCATAAGCAAAGTACTGCTAAAATCTAAAAGGACTACTGTCACCTTTAAAAAAAACCTCTTTGGTTCTTCATTCTCTGGACAACGGTCAAGAATGTGTCAAAATGTACTTATGATGTGATAAGTATATCTTGGTGTACTGTTTCTATATATTATACTCGTTGCTATTAGCAGGCAAATGACACATGAGTTCAGCTCTCACATGTCTCATATCTCCATCTTTCTGTTAGGATGCTGCGTCTTGCTCAGCCCAAGGGTTTTTCTGACATATAGGGTTGAAGCAGACCTTCTTCTAAATGATTTCAATTGTGTTGTTTGGGCTGTAAAACATTTACTGTCATTTTACAATCCTTTACACCCATCTTCCTTTTATATCCTCCAAACTCAAGAGCTGGTGCTATGCTTTCATTGTGACCTATTACCTATTATTAGTTTCTGGTTGGACATCAAGCACTCAAGTTATTAGGCTTGTGGACTCAAAAGCACTCACAACCATAGGGTTGGAGGTTCAGTTCAGATCCTGTTCTGGCCTACCCTCGAGTCGTACTTCTCATAACTTCACTAAGGTGAGAATGGGCTCCCAGCTATAGACAGTTAAGCCCTTATGAAATGACAGCTTGTACTGGATGCTTCCCAAGAAGCTGAGAATATCCTGGAATGTTATAAGGTCAATCAGGGTCACAATAAATTTAAAAGCACACACGACTTACATTCTTAGAATGTAGGTCGTGTGTGATTTTCTAGGGGTATGTTTTTGGTTAATGGAGCCTATTATTATTAGTATTATTATTTATTTATTGCTATTTTTATAGTCATTATTATTATGACTGTATTCTGATTTCCAGGGTGACGCGAGTGGTTGGAGGGTGTCACTGGTAGGTCCTACTTCTTTACTCTCCCTGTTGTTTCTGTACGTCTTTGTGTCGATGTGCTTCTCTTTACTCAAACGAACAATTCCAGGGTGGTGTGATGCAGATTGTCATTGACTGGACGTGCAACCTGGACTATTCCGTGGAAGATTGTGTCCCAGAGTACACTTTCCGACGTCTGGACAAAGGAGACTATAGCGTCTCTAGGGGGTTTAACTTCAGGTAAAATTGATAATAATTCATGAGAGTTTGAAATGTAGGAAGCTGTCTGTTCAATTTCAGTGCCATGGATTTGAGGCAGGTTAATTAAAGAATAACAAAAAACTAGATTTGGAAAGTATGCTGAAGGCTTGAAGGAAAGAAGTCGACTGTCTCTATTTAGTTTAATTTTTCAAATTTATTATGTATTATGTATGCATTTGTTTACACAATTTAAGTACTTTTAAAGACATGTTGTTTTAATCCTGTTTGTCAGGGTCAACCCTGGTTGTGAGGGAATACCTGTCTGAAATATTGGAGATACTCGATGAAAATAGAATATCTGCATAAAAGGAGAAATAGAATGTGCACACTTTGCAGGCAAAGAGTAAAGCCATTTCCACATCTACTGGCTAGATGCTGCCTTTTTTTTTTTTCCTTGCATCCCTCTTTAATCCGAAATAATTACTGCTTGCATGTACTCCAACTGTAGCCCCTTATACCATATCTTCATTTTTTTCTTACAATTTGGTGAAACCTATCTTTTATGTTGAAAATGGACTCTCGAACTCGCAACCATAAGGATGTGGGTTTGAATCGCGTCAGGGGGCTGACGTTGTGTCCTTGGGAAAGGCACTTTTCACAAATTTTCCTGTCTTCTCCCAGGTGGGAATGGTTACCCAGCTATAGACAGCGAACGATATTGTCAGTTTGTAAGTGTTTAAGCACCTAATCAGCTGCTTGGCCTGTATGCTTCCCGGGAAGCTGAAAATGTTTCTGAGTGTTCTATGGCCTGCTGGGGTAATAATATAGTGTAAAACGCATAGAGCTTGTGGTTGAGCAGGGGTATGCACAATACAAATGCTATTTATTATTTATTATTATTATTTAATTCTAACATTTACATATATTTTAATCTAGACTTGCTGCAACAAGTCAGGGAAAAAAAGGATTGGGACCCGTACGAGTTAATGCCGATGAAATTTTGTTCATGATTTGCTCTGCATTGTGATGACCAGCAATGTTGTGCTACTTCCAGTTTTTGATAGTTCTGCATGTCAATGTGAAACAAATGTTCCTTGTAAGGATGGCTGTATTTGTCTTTTTTTTTGTTCTCCTCATCACAGATTTGCCGACAGATACTCTGTATTTAATGAGAGTACAGGACTACAACTCTACCGTAATTTGTACAAGGCATATGGAGTCCGATTCCTGGTTACTGTTCAGGGTAAAGCTGGCAAGTTCTCAATAGTTCCCTTGCTCCTGAACATTGGCAGTGGCATGGCATTGCTCGGTGTGGTAAGTTTGCCCTTCCCCCACCCCTCTTTTTATTTTCCTTATTCCCTCTTCCTAGATTTATGGATGGTCATAGTATAGTGGTTAGGCATTAAGGTCATTATCTAGAGTTCATGGGTTCAGTTCCTGTGAAAACAGGAAGGATGTTACTTTTGTCTAGCTTCTCCTGTAAAATTGTGCTCGCTCATTGTAAGCTACAATGCCCTTGCATCAGATGTTTATGATGGGTTTGAAAAAGGCGAGGAGACTCTGATAGCTGTGCTTGACCTCGAGGATGCTGACAATGGGGTTCAGTACGGTGTCCTTTTGAGAACAATGATCTACCTGAAGATTAGCCCCCAGCTCATGATATGGGTAGGAGAGGCATTGCTGAAGAGGAGAGTTGCAATGTGGCTGGGAAACTGGACATCTGACACCAGAAGCATCACACTGGGGTTGCCACAGGGATCATCACTCTCACTCGTGTTATTCAACATATACACAGTTGGAATCACTGCTGGACAACTGGAAGGCCCAGGGCGTGTGCTGGGCTTTGCAGATGATGTCCTTGTATGTAGACAGGGTAAGGACCAACAAGAAACAGCTAACGCGGTGCAACAGGAGCTGGATTGAATTGGACAATGGTGTGTAGACCACAACGGCAAGCTCCACCCCAAAAGGCTTGTGTGCTGTGGTGCTCACTGAAAACATTCACGCGGTGAAAGCAGAGATTCCCACAGTCACCATCAATGACAGGGTCCTGAAGCGTGAGCACTCACTGAGGCATCTAGGTATCACCTTTGACAGATCACTCTCAGGTAAAGATCACAATACCAGGATCATCACAAGAGCCAGAAAAGGTCTGACTGCACTGACGAAAATCATGGCGTGCAGCAGAATGCCGCTGAGAATTTTAGCCATACTATACCAGACTTTTGTGCTATCTGTGATAGACTATGGCCTCGGTCTCCTCATCTTGTCAACGTCGCAGTTGAAACGCTTTGAAAGAATTCAGAACGAACGTATGCTTACTGTTCTTGGGTGCTCACAAGACACATCCTGCGAGGCTAATGCAGTATCTCCTGGACCTCCCAGCCATGGTAGAACGTCACAAGATTGCTCAGGTGAAAGCGTATTTGAGAGTCAGTGCCGATGATCAGCACCTACTGCATGACAAAGGGGGAAGAACTGTATACACGCGTCTGCTTAGAGGAACTGAATGGATGAATGAGGCAGGGACAACTTTGGCTAAATGCTATGATGTGCAAGACTTCCGAAGGGGCAGCGCATGGGTCAGCGTCACTGACAAACCTGGGCAGTATACTCGAGTGGTAGCAACCTTAGGCAGAGAATGTTGTGAGTGGCCAGAGGGAGCAGCCAGTGCCGAGTTAGAGATGCTTATAGAAGAGAACAGTGAACAGGGCGATGTAGTCATATTCACAGATGGTTCAGTACAGCGTGGTGTCAAATCTGGATGAGCTTTCAGCACCCGTGTAAACGTGGTCATACAGGGAGAGCTGTCAGGTGCCACAAGTATAACCACGTTCAGCATGTGCATTGAGGTGAAAGCCATCTCAGAAGCCCTTAACTGGATTAAGACGACGGAGTATCATTCTGCCATCCTCGTCATCGACTCAATGAGTACCCTCGAAAAAGTGAAGAAACTCATGATGTATGCAGACTGGCGAGAGGTAATACAAAGCAGCTGACTCACAAGGATTGTATGGATCTTCAGCCCTGGCCCTGCAGGAGTTCAAGACAATGAACGTACTGATAAGCTAGCCAGCCAGGTAGAGATTGGTGGCACCATGCAATTAGATCCTCCAACAGTCATGGCAGCATGGTTCAATCACCACAGAGAGGATGAAGGCTCCACTTCACACACAATAATTATAAATAGACTAAGGGAAGGGGGTGTCTCTAGAGGGTCGGGGAGAGACATCAACCTGCGTGGAAAAGCCAGAATAATATCCAACCAGCTGTTAACTGGCACGATCAGCAGGCAGACGCTTTCATGGATCCTGGAGAGGAGAGAGGAGCAGCTATTGCATTATGCCGCCTGCAATGATGCCTATTCTCCAACTAAATAAATAATAATAGTACAATGCCAAGACTAACAACGACCTTTAATGTAATGTGTAATTGTGGCAAACTACAACCCAGTTGTTACTGGCAAATTTTGGTCTTATTGACGTCTTTATATTGTAGTCTTCGCCTAAGATCCCACCGCTTCCAATCCTGGTTCACTTATGATTCCACTATATTAAGATAAGATATTTTTTCCAACACTAAAGTCATCCCTAAGATCCCGCTCCTAAGGACTACATTCGGCTTAAAATTTTCAAATCAGATAATAATTTACAGATCAAAGACTCGGGCAGGTGCAGCTGATTAACCAAGCAGAAAAAATTTGGAATCATTTTACTTCCCTTTGCATCACAGATCAGCCACTCTCATGAATGATCACATCTGGATGAGAAGGTACAAAGGTACAATGCTTTCCCTAAGCGGGATCACACTAAAGATTGACCTCGTCACTATATTTGTTTTCCTCAACATGGCACTGGCACCTGAGCTCTCCACCTGAACTTACATCACAAGCTGGGTGGGTAGGGCCTACAAATCCGCATCAGACGGGATCGCATTGAACTTTGAACTCCTCAGTGTTTATTCTCATAATTGTTCCTGACTTGCAACAGGGAACTGCTGCTTTTTCTTTCCTAATCCTAAATATCGTCATTTTTCCTCCTCTTCTTTTGTATGTTTGTCACACTTTTGTGACCTGCTATTTTCGAGGTGCCTTGATAGTCGAAGCAGACTTTGTGCTGTTGAGGCTAGAGAGGTGGGCAGAGTAAGTCTGATTCCCTGTAAAGACTGCTCTGTTGAAATCCACCCCTTGGCGCTCATGTGACCTTATGCAGTTGCGAGCACCGTAAAACCTCTACTAAAACAAAAACAAAACTTCATCTTGGCTCCCTGAAGATTCTTGATGTTCCTCCCCCCCTCCCCCCATCCTCAGCGTATTATGTGAAATTTGTACATCATCCCGTCATCTGGTGTTGAGCTCGAGAAGAACAACTCTTTTCCTGTGTGTGTGTTTCAGGCCACCATTATCTGTGATATCATGGTGCTCTACGTGCTCAAAGCAAAGAATTTCTACCGAGACAAAAAGTACCTTGATGTCAAAGGTCAAGATGCTTTCGAGGTAAGAGAACTCAGTCTGAGTTTCTTTTTTTTCCCCCATGCATACAGTTATGCACTGTGGGGACGGATTCTTTTGCTGTTTTTTATCCCGTCTTCATAGATAGATATGTATGCTTAACTGCACTGTGGTGTGTTTTTTTTTCCCCGCTTTTTTAGGTGGGGGTGGGGGGCAAATTCACGTGAATAAGTAGATATTTATAAGTCTTGGGGTTTTTTTGTGTTTGAATTGCCTTTTGTTGGGAAGGGTGGGTTGAACTCACGCATGCATGCATGTAGTCATGTAGGTCCTGCATTTTTTTTTTATCACATCCTTGATTAAAGAGACTTAAAGGAGGAAAAAGTGTGCTGCAAGGATTGGGGTGGGGGTGGGGGGAGGGTTTGCTATAATATATGCATAAATGCACGCACACAGTTGTTGGATTTATTAAAATGGCATTGGCACTGATGTATGTGCTCAGCTGCTGTGGGGTTTTTTGTTCATACAGACAAAAGTGTGCATATATGCATGCTCATATAACATCTTTACTCATGTGTGCACACTTTCCTGGATGCGTTTTTCTGCTTGCACAGTATGTTTTAAGTCCCACAAAAATTGTATACACACTGTTTTGGTTCGTATATGGACATTATTTTGGTTTGATCAGTGGACATTTCTGCTTTGGTGTTACCAGTATTGGTGAAGTGGTCGTAACTCTCACCTCATCATCTGGAGATCTGGGATTTATACATATTAACGACCAAACAATAGTTTTTTTATTATTGTGCCCCAGGTTGGCAAGCAGGGTTGATGCAGTCGGCCTCCCAAATGATCTTAGTTGCTGTGATAGGAGGTGTGAGGCATTTTCAATCATTGACAGTTGTCTACTAGATATTTTTCGTGCTTTTTAGCCCTTTTCTGTTACATTCACTGAGACTTGAGTCTCTTCTGATACAGATGACAAGATCAGAAGTGGTTGATCGAAGTTGCCCAGCTATTTTGCTATCCCACTATTGTTAGTCTGTCTTGTTTTTCCCCAGCATTACCGTTTATGGTGTCATGTGCTTTTCTGTCACCCAAAGAAATGACAATGAGATTCGTTCACATTCTACCTTACGAGTCTACTTGGTTGTTTTTATTGATAAAGTCTTTTATTCCCAAGCTGTCATGGTCGAAAGACTAACTGCAATTTGTTCATATGATTTCAGACTCAACTTTTGCACCCTACTGATGTTAAGAAAAATTATACTGAGGATGCAGACAGTGAGACAAGTGTTCAATTCACTTTTATTTTTGTCGAATCCTCCTCTGTTTCTTACCCATATGTGTCCCGATAAGAGAAAACCCGTCAGAAGTTTCCAAGAGATTTGCACTTGTTTAACAGAAGAAAGTTCAAAAAGCTTTCGTAAGAAAGTTAAAATTGCTGTATGATTTATCAAATATCTTACAGTAATGTCACATTGTGATGGTGCACATTTCTAGGGCTTAACTCACTCAATCCTGTGACTGAGATATCTCAGTCAGCTCAGCTACGTTCTATCCCACGACCAAGGTAGTTCGGTTCTCTAGTTTTGCTCCTTATACTAGTTATTTCATTTAGGAAAATGACCTCAAGTTTTATATAAGGTCTACCTATTTCCCCCGCCAATTCTGCCAAGAGGGGTGTTGAAATTTTGTTTCTACTGTCATTACAACCGAAGAAATCGCAGTTTTTATAAAGGCGCTTTCCGCACTTTTGTTCACACTGATCAGCTGAGCATGTATTGCAATCGATTCTCTCTGCCTTTCTCACACATACATTTTTTTAAATTCATGAAAGTATTCAACAGTCTTTATTATTCATGACATACAATATAGATCTAGGCACTCATAAGCATATTTGAATATCAATGTAGACTTGCTCTTTGTCATTCAGCCATGAAAAAAAATTAAAAGCCCCCAAAAATGCCAAATTTGTACAACACCCCAAAGCATAACTACAAAAGCTACATACTTCAAATTTGGTGTGTAAAGATCCATCTTTGGCTGTACTTTGTTCCAAATTTCCAAGCAATCGGGGTATATTTATGGTTAGTAGTGGGCCTTACATAAGTGCTAAAATTACAGTTTCTGGGTACAATTTTGGGAAAAACTCCCGGGATTGAGTGAGTTAATCGCATGGAGGGTCAGTGAAAATAACAAAAACTTTTGGAAGAATTATTGTATTGAATTGAGAATGGAAATGAAATATTGCCACCATCTTGTCAAAAAATTACAAGCACCATGAGTTCAAATAAAAGTGGCTTACTTATATACAAAATCCAAACTGTCCTGGAGTTTTGAGAAGGTTGTAAAGCATAGAAATAGTAGTAGATAGCATGAGGAAACTGTGCTTATGGGAAGGGTTTTCTCCTTTTGCTACACATGTCTCAAGTTGCGATCAGTTCACCCTGGCAGTGGAGGGGCGACAAATGCTGGCGATGCTTGCTTTCTCTTCCTGGAAACGAATACAGAGAGAGAGAGTGAGAGAGAGACAGGGAGAGTGTGTGTGAGAGAGAGAGAGAGAGAAACTTTTACTTACAGATAATTTTGGGTTGAAAGGGGAGTGGGTTGAATTTTTCTTTTAGTTGTACCATCTTTTGGGGTAAGAGGATGGGGACAGCAGCCTGTCTAAGAAGATCATGTGCTTGCAACGGAATCGATAACAATTACTTCAAAGCATGTAGGGTGACAGTTCAGCCACAACAGCGACTTGAAAGCATTTTTGTTCTTGAATTTCAGCCAGAGCTTTTTGGGATAAATTCAGATGGAAATGTTGCTGTTGAGAATGATGTTATTGAGAAATAAGGAGAGGAAGGTAGAGTTGGTGTTCGAGTCCCATGTGCCGGCCTTCGGTCACTGTGTGCCTCTTGCCTTTGGGTCACTGCATGGTCTTTGTCTCTGTTTTACCCTGTCACTCCCAGGACTGTCTCATGCCTCTGTTTTCTTTTTCTTTTCGAATTTGGAGATAAGTTGTATGTTTTTTTAAAAGAAAAAAAAAATGTTGAATTTATATTGTCTTGATTGCATATCCTTATCGGTTCAGAAATGTTCATTGTAATTAATCAACATTGTTTGTGTGATTTTCAAGGGAAACAATCATTGGACTTTACTTAATTGAAAAAAAATAATTTTTTCTTGTCTTTCTTTTTTCTGTTCTTTAGGCAAAATAAGCTGTTGTTGAATGTATGCTATAGAGAGAGTATATACTTCTAAGTTTGAGTCTGTTTTGAAGTAAAACAAATTTTAAAAAGTCTTTAGTGGTTCATGCATTTGCTGTCATTCATATCTCAGGAAGGCAAAGACAGGCTGGCAACTAGTCTATGCGAAGTTATTCCGCCAGAAGTTTTGGTGTAGGCAGCTACTGGTTTTTTTTGCTACCATTGACTATGAAGTGAAGAACCTTGCTTGCTTTCATCTCCCAAGCTTTTGAAAATAGTCAGTCAGTCTACCTGGCGGATCAGTCTTCCTGGAAGAGAGGGGATGAAAATAAAAAATGTGCTAGCCTCCTGTTAGATATGTGGCAAAAGTAAAAGAGACTTTTTTTTACTCCGTCCTTTGTTTGCTGGGGAATTTTGCTGAGATTGCATCCCCTCCTGCGACTGTGCTCTCTGGTGTTTAACTTTTCATCCTTAAACTTTTGCAACTCTTTTGTTGATTCGACCTAATTTTCCAGATTGACATGCACATCAAACAGCTGATTTTTCCTTTATGATCTCAGTTTTACCTTGTGTGCCATTTCCCTTGTTGACTCTTTGCACAGCTTCCCTTGTCCAAAAACTCACATGCCTATTTTCACTTTGCTTTATACTTTTATTGGGAGTTTCCTCTTAGTTGGTATCATGTTGGACTATGGTGTGAATGGTGCGGGTTCAATTCCCCAACAGGACGTTCTTGAACTTGGGCTGTTTGGGAAGTTTTCAAGACTCTCCATCAACTTGGCTGTCTCCTATTGGAGATGGATGTCATATCTTGAAGTCTCACTTGTGAAATAATGTTGCAGTGTTGAAAGTAGCATTTAAAAGTATTTTTGCACCCTGTAAGTTGTAGAATTGTAACAGTACATTTTCAAGCTGCTTGGATTGCTTCATTTTGCTTTATTATGCCCACATTGTCATCTGGAAAGTTCCTGAACTCTCATGTAACAACTGAGACAGCTAATTTGATGATTAAACAGAGTTGCCTCCTTTTACCGTATCCTGCCTGCCCGCCCCCATCCCCAGTTTAGGGCGTCCGTATTCCATCTTGATACTTTGTTTCCATCTTGATACTTTGTTTCCATCTTGATACTTTGTTTCCATCCTCATTTTTTCAGTAGGTGGTTGGCAGGTGCTCTGTCATAGTTTACTCCTTCTTTCCTATCAGACATCTGTCATCCTTATCTCCCCTTCCTTCTTTTTTTTGTTTGTTACTCCCTTGTAACACCTCTAATCTTTTGCACTTATATGACCTTACTGTGTTGCAAATGCTGTTAAACTCTTACTAAAGCTAAACTAATTTATTCAGTGACCAGTATTGGATATTTGTGTTGGCCTTTCATTTTTTTAGTTTGCATCAAGCTGGACTATGATGGGGATGGTCCTGGTTCAAATCACTGTTCCACGCCATGTTTTCTCTCTTCTCTCTCCCCGCTCCCCCACCCACCCGC